CCCGCCGCCTTTCCCGGCGGCACCGCTCGCTCCCTTCGGATCGTGGAAAGCGAAGGGAAAGCGCGGAGCAACCCCCGCTCCCAAGGCCCTTCCCGAGCCTCCCCCGGCCCCCCGGGGCCGCCGGGTGCCCGTGGGGCTGCCCCACTGCCCGGGGCCGGGTTTGCCTTTCAGCCCCCTGCGAGCGGAGTCAGCGCTTGCAATTAATTCCATTTGTGGAACGATAAGGCCACGGGAATTCCCGGGTTGCGACTTGCTGCTGGATGGATATATTGAACCAGATGGGGGTCAAGTGCTGGTCAAACAGGTATCCCGACAGACCTTGCTGGCAGATGGAGAGGCTTTTATTTTATTTTATTTTATTTTATTTTATTTTATTTTATTTTATTTTATTTTATTTTACTTCGTTTTATTTTATTTTACTTCATTTCATTTTATTTCATTTTACTTCATTTCATTTTATTTCATTTTACTTCATTTCATTTTATTTCATTTTACTTCATTTCATTTTATTTCATTTTACTTCATTTCATTTTATTTCATTTTACTTCATTTCATTTTATTTCATTTTACTTCATTTCATTTTATTTCATTTTACTTTATTTCATTTTATTTCGTTTTACTTCATTTCATTTTACTTCATTTTATTTTTTAACGCTTAGACTCCATTGACATGTGCAAAATCCTGGAACACAAAAAAGGAGGGTGAGATGAAGGGGACTCCGCATCACAGACAGAAACAGCACCCGGGATTTGGGATAAAAGCTCCGGTAAGAAGCTGGAAGGGAAAGAATATGCCCATGCCTATGGCAGCAAGAGCTGGAAAGGGGTCAGGGAGCTGCTGGCAAACGTATGGAAAAGATAAGGAGCGTTATCAGGAGCTGCAGTTCCCTGAGGAGGAACACTCACTCTGCTGTAGTTATTTCCTATGGCTATATCCCTGTCCCTATAGCTGCAAGGAATACTCCCTATATCTGTATAGCTCTAGTGAATAGCTATAGAGGTGCTATATCCCTATATATATAAATATATATATCCCTGTACCTCTAGGTATAAATATAGGTATATCTATCTATCTATCTATCTATATGTATATATAGGGGAGTGTGTGTATATATCTATATATAGGTGTATATATATACCTGTAGGTATATAGGTGTATATATATATACCTATAGGTGTATATATATGTATATATATCCCTGTACCTCTAGGGATTAGCTAAAGAGGAGCTATATCCCTATTTAGCCCTATAGCTCTAAGGAATATCTATACAGGAGCTGTATCTCTATGTATATGCTTATAGCTATAGAGAAGGCCTACAAAAGAGCTGTATCTCTATATACCCCCTATAGCTCCAGGGAATAGAGGACTGTGAGCTGTAGGAAATATTCCCTACATCCCTATAGCTCTAGGGACTAGCTATAGAAGAACATGAGCTGTGGGGTGTATTCCCTCTATAGCTATAGGGAAGAATGATAGGAGTTATACTGTGTTTTTGAGGAGGAGGAGCCCCATGGCCACCATGGCCACCATGCCCCATGTGGCTCCACCACATCAAGGACACAGCGTGAGCCATGAATTGCTCCCAACGTAGAGCCACGGGTGCAGGGGCTCACTGGGGTTTGGGCAGAGGGAGAAAGCAAAGATGGGGGTTCCATCCTCGGCGTCGGCAAAAGCCACCTGCCCCCTGGTGCAATCCAGGGCCACCTGGATAATCCTGGGGGGCTGATGGAGGTTCAGGGGGGTCCAGTCGGGGTGGGTGAAAGCATGGTACTGCCCGAACCACTGCCCCACGGCCCAAATGCCTTCTTCAGGGGAAAGCTGGAGGACACCCGTCCTCCGGATGGATCCTCCGGCCACCCCGGCGGCCCACCAGTCCCCGGCGTCACCCACTGCCACCTCCCAGCGGTGCTGCCCCGTGGTGAAGCCCGGGCAGCCCAGCACGCAGGGCTCGGTGCTGAACCTCTCCGGGCTGTCGGGGAGCGAAGCCCACGCGTCTCCTCGGCTCACGCCTCGGCGATCTTCCGCGAGGACCAGGAAGGGGTTGGCTGTGCCCGGGTCCAGGGTGACACGCACTGGGGATAGAGGAGGAGAAGACCCTTAGCTGGTGTAGTCCTGGAGAAGGTGGGACACATGGTGTCTGCACCTCCTTGCCCCAGGTGTCTCCAGCGTGGGGAAAATTGGATTGCCCCAGTCTCAGTAATGACTTGATGCTTCCAAATAGGCACAAACCACCTCACAGAGATATCAGTCCAAGTCTCCAAATGTTCTGTTTCTCTATCTGGACCATGGAGAGAGTTTGGGAATCTTTGGTGCAGGGCTGACAGGGGGGTCCACCTGCGATATTGCAGCCACCACATCTCAACCCCATGGCCAGGACAACCCTGAATGTGTTGACCCACTATGTGTTTCGTCCACATTACAGACAGGACACAACTTTCACCCAAACAAAGGACAAGATCCCTCTTCTCTCCTTGGACTCACCTTTTTCACTCATGTCTTCCACTTCATTAGCCTGGGCCATCTCCAGTTCAGGGACCTGCATGTCTACAGAACTTCCGCAGGGCGTTGATCAACAAGATTCCCGTTTGGAAGTGGATGATGAGACTCAGTGCCAAATGGTGGGAGAAATGGAGCGAGTGGTGACAGAGTTATGACATTTGGGCGCTTTTTAGATGGCCAGCACCCCACTGCGGGGACTTCAAGAGGTTGTTGGATGGGTCCTTCTGCCTTTGGCTTGGTGGCACTCCGACGTGATCATGGGATCTCATTGAATCCTTGCATTGCCTTTCGTCTGTCTTGGGATTCCTCTCCCAGAGTTCCCCCGTGGAGCTGTTGGTGAAGACGCCGTTCCCATGCGGTGGGATTTCCACGCCTCCCCATTGGGCAGCTGCGGGTTGGCGATAAGCGTGCCGAGCCACCAAGAGCAGCTCTATCTCCCCACTGCAGGGACTTTAGGGCCCAGCCAGGGTTGGTTATTCTGGGAGCCACCTCAGGGCAGGATGTCACGCAGGGACACCAGCCGCAGATCAGTAGGCCCTGGAGAGAAATGCCCTTGGCCATGGCCAAGCTTTGGGCATGACACGGAGGGCATCATCGCTGCATTCTTCTTGAAG